TAAAATAGAACCTTGGACAATAAACATCGGAGCGGCAATGTTTCATTGATGTTAGAGAGGCACCGTTAACGTCACGTTCGACTTCGTACTTAAATTACACTCACATGCCTATGTACGCTAATGTTTAATAATTTAAAATATGTATGCACAATGATCATCGTGAGGCTCGTTTTTCATTACCTCTATACAATGTTGTAGCCAGAAAAATATTTTATTTTTTACTGAAGGGGGATTTTATTTTCAATTATCTATCCTAATTAAATATCAACTTTTTCATTTTAATAAGTCCATTACCTAAATACTCGTATAAATTAAAATATAAAATTTGTTATCATTTAATTTGTTGAAACTGAAAATTCTTTGATGATGATATCATATAACATGTTTTAAAATTATTGTATATTTTACAAAATAATAGAGACTTTGGGATGGGGAGGGAGTATTATGTGGTATTACGGTTAGCCACGTTTAACATTTCTAAACACATTATTAGTTGTTATCTGGATTGCAAACGGTATGATAATTATCATACGCATATGATAGGTGTACGATATACAATACTGTTTTACTATGGTCCACTAAAATACGATAATTCCTGAAAATTATAAATTCAAATGACGAAAAACAATTTTCAAAAATGTTTGATATTTATCGAATATGGACTTAAGGATTGCTGTAGTTGTTTACACATTGTTTTAAATTTTAGATATGTATTCAACAACTAAAATACTAAGAAAATAATCTTGTTTTTTTTTTTTTATGATTTAAACGGGCAAGCCCAATTACAATGGTATGTGTAACATTAAAATTCAAATTAAAAAGTTGCCCATCCCTGGTTTATACAATTTTTAGTTTGTCGTTGTTCGTTTATGCACATATTGTTATACAGTTATTATATTTTTTACATTTTTTATTATAATAGTACGTGTTATTATGTATTATTTTATACCTATTTCATTTTAATAAAAAATATTGGAAGAAGATACATATGATCCTGGACATCAAGGACCGTCAACTCCTAAAAAAACACATTTATATAGTAGTGATCTATTTAAAGAAGAGATTCTAAAGAGATCTAAAGAAGAGACAGATTGGTTAAAAATGGACGTATATAAAATTAAATTTAATTAAAATTAAATGAATACGAGGCTTATTGCAAATTTTGTAAATTAACAATGGTGTTCGAAAAAGGAGTACTTAAAAATCACAGTAAAGGCAAAAAACTTATCTAAATAATGGCAGTAATAATGCACTGAGGGGTGTGCCGTCAGGCAAAATTGTTGTCACAGTCCTGGTGCGGTTAGGTGAAATCTGCCACTCAACACAGTCACATGTTGTGAGTGTTGGCAGGGGTGGACAAAATACGGCGGCAACGAAATTAGCGGCCATTTTAATTGGGGTTCTTTTGTTATCAAATTATAATCAGTGATGACTGATATTCGTTATTAATTGTAATTTCAATTTTGGTAATTGTTCAATATGTGATCTACCAAACAATGTGAAACATGATGACCTACTGGGTATCAAGAAGTTTTTACTTTTGGATCATTTTTTAGATAGTATGTCTACCATAATACAGGTCCATGTGCAGGATTTCAGAATGAGAAGTGTTTAAAAAAAAAAAATGTATAAAATAGATTCATCGATGATTAAATAGTATTATACAGGTATTTATATAAATTTTTTAAGTATATTAAAAACGTTTATATCGATATAATACTATAAAATGCAAATCGTTGTAAATTTACAAATACAATTGTAATACATTTACAAAAACACAATTTATATTTTTTTGGTAATGATGGGAGGTTGGGGGTTGACCCATGGTCATACCCTAGTATAAGACTTATAAGCCCCCCAAATCTCAAACTCTTATTGCACCTAATACCTTGATAAATAATACTACTATTAGTAATATTTTAAAATGTGCAGTAATTTATAAAGAATATAACTACCATTTCATGATGTAATAAAATGTTACTCACTTCCTACTGTACCTCAAATAAAATGGCTGATTGATTTCATTATTGTCCTATGCTGCCCATGTAATTTGTTATCAGTGTCCATTCTGTTTTATTCTTTGGTATTAGTCGACTATATCTGTTCATTGCCAGTGTTTAGGTCCACGGGCCTAGACATCACAGGCATATTTATTTTATATTATTTGCATTGCCACCATAGGCACATTAGTGTTATTGTATTATTTACATTGCCGCTAAAGGCACATTATTTTTATTACATTTTATATCACCTTCTTCAGTCATTTATGTAACTACATTTATTTATCTATTTATTTTATTTGTAATCTATTTATTTTATTTGTAAGTGCCAAACAGGCAAATTATTCATATTATATTCTCTTTGCTGTGATTTGTTTATAATTATTTATTATTTATTGCATTTGTTATGCCAATAAGGCAAAATTTTACATTTATATTAATACATTTCTAAATTATTTTACTATACAGTTCATTATTCATTATTAAAGTATAAGTTTTAAAGTAAATAAAGTCCCCCTTCTTTAATTTTGCCAAGTCGAGCACTGCTTTTAACTATTTTTTGACTATATTTTAATATTTTATAATTTATTTATGTTATAAAGATTAATGTTATCTATAGTTTTAACAATTTTATATTTATGTTACTTTGTAATACACAAAAGTATACATGGTATTATATGATACTACTGTGCAGTTCAGGTACGTGTACATTTAATTTTATTTAAAAATTTGTTTATTTTATTTTGGTTTAATGAATGTTTTAGAAAGTTAATATCATGGATTTAAATGACAAAGACACTGAATATTTATTGGACTTTGATTTTCCAAGTGGTTTAGAAGCTAGTTTTTGTGATAGTGATGACGATAATAATGGTTGTGATGGTAATGTTGATATACTAAATATACAAAATGACAATGACACCGAGGAAATGGAATATTTAACTCCTCAACATATTGAAGACATTCTGGTTAATATAAATAGTGAAATAAGATATGAAGATTTATCAGCTAGTATTGTTATCATGGATGCCAATGATGTAGACAACTATGATAATTTTGTAAATAACATCAGACAACAATCACAACATCAAAATTATTTAGTTGAAAATATTACTGTTATTGATGATCCAATTACTATTAGCCCTTCCACATCCAGCCATAGAACTTATCCAAATAGTTCTAATGATTCTAGCAATGTGCCATTAAAAACTAAAATATTGAAAAAAAACTGCCCATTTTACCAAAAAATAAAAAAAACTAGAACATGTACAGTAAGAAACATACACACAGACCCAATCTAAAAAGGTCAAAGAAAAAAAGAAAACAACTAAGTGGTTTTCAGGAAAAGATAACCAATTCACAAATTCAATTCCTCTTTCATTGGTAGTGAAATAGTAAATATTGACATAAATGATGGTGCTACTCCTTATTCCATTTTTATTCAAATATTTACTGATGAATTATTTGAACTAATAAGAGTTGAAACTATAAGGTATGCTGTTCAATGTGGAAAGACAATTTTACCTTATCTATCAAAGAGTTAAAAAATTTTTTTGCTATTAATATTGCTATGACTTATATAAAATATCCCAATGTGCAGATGTATTGGTCTTCTCAAGATGGACTAAGAATGGATTTAATAGCAGATGTCATGTCATATAATAGATTTACTGAAATAAAAAGGTACATTCATTTTGCAGACAACAGTAACCAGCATAATACTGTTATCGATAAATATTGGAAAGTTCGGCCTGTCTTAGATATTTTGCATCAGTCTTTTTATGCAGCTACTTCAACAAATGAGCATATTGCAATTGATGAAATGATGGTGTCATTCAAAGAGAAAAGTTATCTTAAACAGTACTTAAAATCTAAACCTAAGAAATGGGGTTTTAAAATTTGGGTTCAAGCTAGTACAAGGGGGTATGTATATTGTTTTAAGATGTACCAAGGTGCTTCAAATTTAAAACGTACAGAATTTGGTGCAATTGGTGATACTGTGGTAAAACTTTGTCATGAAATACATGGAAAAAATCACAAATTATTCGTGGATAATCTGTTTACATCTGTTCCATTACTGCGAAAACTAAGATCATTTAATATATATATGCCTTAGGAACACTTAGAATTAATAGAGTTCATGGTATTGATAATAAATTGGTTTCTGAGAAATTGCTGGAAAGAGGTTCTAGTTTTATTGCTACTTCAGACGATAACATAACAGTAATTCATTGGAAAGATACTAAATTGATACATACAATATCTACCTATGTAGGAGCTATATTTGAAGATACAACAATGCGTTATGACTGGAAGGATAGAAAAATAATTGAAATTGGTAGACCATAATATTATATTATAGTATTCAAGAATATAATAAATTCATGGGTGGAGTGGACTTAATGGACTGTATGATTGCCCATTACCCCCATGGGTTTAAAAATAAAAAATAGTACCTCAGAGTTTTTTTTCAAAAAATGTAATTATCATCAATTCTTGGATACTATACAGAGAAAAATACACAGATATTCCTCTTCCAAATTTTAAAGCATCAATAGTTTGGACAATGCTTCAAATTGGCAAACATAGTGGGCCTAAAAGAGGAAGAAAGTCACTGACACAGACACCAACACCACCAAAAAAAAAAAAGAAAGTTAAATTTACAGTTCCTGAAGTGTAATATAATGGTATAAACCAGCGGTTCTTAAACTTTTTATTACGCGGACCCCTGATGAAGGACATTTTTAAATCTCGGACCACCTTATTAATTTTATTAGGAATTACCATTTTTTTATTAAAAAATATTTCATGTTACAATTACCAATATATTTAAAAGAAAGGTAAATAAAAATATAATAAGTATAAAAATATTTTGTTTATTATTTTTGTTATGTTTAATATTATTGCATTAACATTTTGTCTTACATAAAAAATTAATTATTGTTTTACTTTTATGATATTTGAAATTAATCTTATAATTTAAAATTATTATAGGTATACTTAATGTGAAGGATGATATTGCATTTCTGACATTAATTTTTCTATATTAGGCTCAATATTTGAAAGTTTTAATCGAAGTTCGGACTCTACGTTTTCCAAACGATTGCGAAACTTGTTTTTGACAAGAGCGGAAAAGGCCTTTTCACATAAATAAGTTGTGGGGAACGGAATTAAAACTTTCAGAGCTTTACTTGATAATACTGGATAATCTTTTTGTACGTGCAACCAAAAATTTTCTAACGACTTTTGATTAAATTGTAATTTTAAACTACCATTTGTAGAAATTTCTATAAGATTATCTTCTTCCAGTGATGTCAGTCCATTAATTTGGGTTATATCAATTTCAAAAGGGTGTCTAATCCAGTTTCTATTTGTGTCTGAAACAAGAAAATAATCGCGGAAGCTTCGTTGCAGATCTTCAATATGTTGTTTGATGTTTTTGGAAACTTCTCCGGATAATTCTTTTTTAGTCAATTCAAGGAAATTATTGAAGTTTTGAAATGAATCGTAATTTTTCTTTGATAGACGATAGTTCCATTGTTCCAACTTTTTTATCATCGCTTCAATTTTATCTTCAACTTTAAAAATTGTAACATGGGACCCTTGAAGACTCAAGTTAAGTACATTTAAATGAGCAAATATATCTGAAAGGTACGCTAAACTAGCCAACCAAGAAAAATCATTTAAACGTTCACTTAACGTAAATGGTGATTTATGTTCGATGAAAAATAATCTAACCTCATGTCTTAACTCAAACAAACGAGAGAGCACTTTACCCCGAGATAACCAACGAATTTCAGAATGTAACAGAAGTTGATAATGTTCACTATCCATGTCCTTGCAAAGTTGTTCAAAAAGTCTTGAATTTAATGATTTGGCTTTTATAAAGTTCACAATTTTTACAGCTTCATCTAAAACTTCTTTTAATTTTGTTGGTATTTTCTTAGAGACAATAGCTTCACGATGAATACAGCAATGATGCCAAGTAACTGATGGTATAATATTTCGAATACGTGCAATTAATCCACAAATTTTTCCTGACATTGCTCGAGCACCATCTGTACTAACTCCTACACATTTTGTCCATTCAATTTCATTTAATATTATAAATTCATTTATTTTGGTAAATATTTCTTCTGCTGTTGTATGTATAACAGAGGTTACAAATAAAATGTCTTCGAAAATGGTATTTTCGTAGTTGTATCTTACATAACACAGTAATATAGATTTATTAGTTATATCAGTACTTTCGTCTAATTGGAGACTAAAATAGTCACATTCGTTTATTCTTCTCAACAACTGTTCTTTAATATTTCCTGATAAACTATCAATTCGTTTTTTTATTGTATCATTTGATAGCGAAATTAAATTTATGTTATTTGCTGCTTCTTTACTGATCATTATAGAAACCATAGTTTTTGCAGCGGGCAATATTAAATCCTCAGCTATTGTGTGAGGTTTCCCAGATTTGCCAATAAGTAAAGAAACGGCAAATGAAGTTTTAACGGCATTTTCATTACTATAACTTGTTGAAGATTTTTTAATACATTTCATATTTTTCCTTAATTCATATTCTTTATTTTTAAAAAAATCAATGGTTTTCGTAACATGTTCTTTATGTTTGGTTTCTAGATGTCTTTTTAGTTTTGATGGTTTTAGTGCCTTGTTTGATAATACTTCAAAACATGTCACGCATTGTGGTTTTTGTTCTTCTTCAGAACCGCAACAAGTAAAACCCATCGATAAATAATTATTATCATACTTACGAAATTTTGTTAATTTAATTTTTTTCGTACATGGTGTCTCCTTATTAAAAACCGTAGAATTATTCCTCTTTAAATTTAACCAGCTATCCATTTTTCGTAAAATTCGTAAAATACGTAGGTATATAACTAATTAAATACAATCCATAAGTATACAGCGATGGCGAGTAAACGACTGGACGTTTGAGTGCTGCAAATTTCGTCTGACAAGATAAACTAATAGATAAATGATAATTATAAATATAATTTAAAATTCCATGTTACGCCGATATGGGTAATTAAGATTAGAATACTTGAGGATTAACTTTTCTAAAGTTGCGATAAGACGGGTTCAATACTTGTATAATAATATATTTTACATTTCTAACAATATCATTATTACACATACATGCTGTCCACATCTGAAATCATTTATAGTGTCGCGGACCACAGTTTAAGAACCGCTGGTATAAACCATTATCCTACAAAAACCACTAAAAAGCAAGCTTCAAAATGTTGTAATATTAATTGCACTTCTCGAACTAGGTATTTATGTAAAAAAAAGTGATTTCCCTGTTTGCTCAGAATGCATGGAAAGTTATCATACTAAAATATCTAAATGAACATTTGAGACTGAAATATACTTACTATGCCATACCAAAACTTTAACAAGAAGCTCCTATAAATTTTGTTTTTTGTTTATTATGTGATGATTTAAATATTTTCTATTTTCTATTGTTATGTTTAATATATTTTTTAATTCATGAGTGAAAAAGGAAATGCCTATAAAATTTGTTCTTGGTTTATTATGTTATGATTTAAATATTTTATTTTATGGATTTTTTATAAAATATTATGTTATTTTATTTAGTTTTTTACCTTTGAATATTATATTTGTATTTTATATGTTATAGTATCTGAATAAGGTAATTCAAATGGTTATTATAAAAATACATAAATATATTCATAAACTTTGACTATTTTTTTTCTGGGTCGTTTCAGCACATATGTATCATTTGATACTAATTGTTTCAACCCTTAAAAATGGTTGAAGGGTTGATTTAGGATTTTTTTTTTATTATTTGTTTCATGATTTTCAGGCAATTTAACACAGATACAATTTTTTTTTCTTTAAAATCATAATGTTGTGCATGAAGAGGTTAAAATAATCCAGGCAACATTTTTTTTGTAAAAACATTAATAAATTGTATTGAGTCGGATTCATATTATTGCCATTTTGTGTTCAAATTGTACTAAATAGATTTCCAAGGCAATCCTGATTTACACGATGAGTTTTATTAACATAATCTTTATTTTTTTAAGAATTTGAAGAATTCTACAGCAATTGTACACCAGATATAGAGACTAACCAATTATTAATAAAGTTAACACGTCTAGTTACATCAGATTCATTGAATTTATGTATAATTTTGATATTATTAAATAGTCATATATTAATCAGTCATTTTAATTAAATTATCAGATTGTGGCAAAGTGTTCTTAAAAGGGTCATTGAAAAATTTACTATTAGGAGTGCCTGATGAATTGAAAATATTAAACAATTTATTCATATCATGAATGAATTGAATAGTTTTTTCAAAGTCGCAGGTAAAATACCACCATTTGAAGTTGTGGACATATCAGCAGCAATACTTGTACTATATACCTGGTTAACTAATCATACTTTCATTTTTTCAAATGGTTCTGGATAGACATGTAAATAGGTCAATTTTGGTGTCATGCGTAAATTACATTTAGAATCATAATCATAAAATGTGTTTAAATATTTTTTTTTTACTAACTCATTCATTTTAAAATTATGTTTAAAAAATATATTTCTGGTTGATTTTAATAGATGAGGGGGGTCAAATTTATGTACAATTTTTTCTTCATTAACTTCAAAATATGGCTTAGTTAGAGAAACATTGTTGTTATTAGAAAATTGTATGAAATTTGAGCCTTGATCAGTAATAAATGCTTTTACAGTAATGCTGATATTTCTAAGTCTGCGTATTGTTGAAAAATTATATCATTTAATTCCCTACCACAACAGTTTTTTGAAATTAAATAATAAGAAATTGGTTGTTTCCAACTATAGTTTAGACCTCTAACCATAAAACGAGAGCAAGATTTGTAGGTTCATATGTAACATTATTGTTTGTTTAATTTAAGCCAATTATTTTATCTTTCGACATATTGCAAAAAATATGAGTTTTTATGGACATTTCATCTGTCCAAATAATGCATTCCAGTGTCTCAGGAAGGAAATTTTTAGTTTTAAAAGATAAAAAGTTGAACATAAAATCACTAAGACGCGGTTTCAGTTCATATTTTGCAGCGATTGTTCTTAATGTACGAATAGAAGGAAGATTGTAATATTTTTGAAGCAATTTGAATATATTAGGTCTAAGAAAATGAAGAGTTAAAACAAATAGTTTGATTTTGGTACTAAATTGAAATCCACGTGGATTTCTATCCTTATTACTTAAATAATTTTTTACCAACATAAATAAAGATTGTAGAAGATACTTTTCACATAATTGAATACATTTTCTTGTATTGCTTGTCTGCGCTAACATTTCACTTAAATGTGAAACAATTTTTTCCAAATCTTTGATTGATTTATGAGCTTCACAAGTTGCCTCTTATATTTCAGTTTTCTTGTAGTTCTTTCCGAAATTTAAATTGGAGTTTGACTACCAATCGAAGTATCACATTCAGTTAATGATGTAGTAAAAGAATCTGAAAAATAAAATTGATAAATAAATCATTCAGAAAAAAGTAATCAATTGTAATATGAAAATATACCCGATGTTCAACATCGTACTGATATATCTTCTACAGTACTAGATAATTCAACCACCAAAATTGTTGGTGAAGATGCCGCACTAAAATTTTGTTCAAAGACAGTATCTAAAATTATAATATACATAATTGAATTTAAAAACAATAATAAAACGTGTGAACAGCTGTTTTTTGTCATTCGACTATACCAAGAAATGTTGCAGATATTATGTTATAGGCAGTGATGTATTGATAAAATAAATCATGGGTGTACGCGTTATTTCATGAAGTAACTATCATATGGTAGGAACCAACAAATCTTACTCATGAACTAAACATCCTCATTTATGACTGTTTGATAACAAAAACTTATTAAATGATAACAAATTTGAATTTTTCATTAAAAAATAATAATAATAATACATCCGATACCAATCCACGCCATATATATAAAATCACAAGTTAGGTTAATCAAGGTATTATATAGGTATTTGTCAAATTACAAGCTATACGCTAGATACGGCTGTATACCCGCGTATTATCAATTTATTGTAAGTTATACGCCATGGATAAAAATAGCGTATTGGGTATACCCTCGTATACCCTCTAATACGCCACTGGATAATATCAGTTTAATACCTAGAACTTATAGGTTTAAATATAGTACTAAATTAAATACTAGGTTTGTTCCAACCACAGATATTAATATATATATCTGTGGTTCCACCATCCGGTCAAACTATGATAGAACTGGGGGGAGCATGCGTAGTATATTTTTTGCGTTCCAACACACCCTAAATGCAAACTCAAACCATCAGACGGTTGTTCCAATACATCATTAGACCACTTTTAGGATTGGTTGTGGACTATCACAACGGTCCGCTGATTCCGACGAGGATTGAAGCTACGTCCACACGATGATAGTTGAATGCGATAGTTGTTACCGTGAGAGTATGCGAGAGTTAACTATCGCTATCGTTAGTTTTGACATGCTATTTATAATATTTACTACTATCACAGTAATATTAGCGTAAAATGTCGTCAACCGAAGTGATTTATGCAATTATAAATCTCATTAATGAGATAATTAAATTTAGACCATCTAAAAAAAAACAAACAAAAACGTATTTGGGTTAGATCATGGTGTTTGTGCACCATCGCGACGAGCGTCGAGGATTCGCGAAGACCACCGTCGGTACCCCCTGTTTTTACCCCTACCGGTGACGTGCACCCGGTCGCCCGGGCCGTCGATCGCAGTGGTGTGTGCTGAAAAACTTGTTTGTTTTTGCGCCACACGTTCGCGCTTGGCCGGCCGATAACTATTTCCTAAGGCTGATTCCTTTTGGTACGCGATTGTCGTTTGTCGGGCGCTTGATCCACGACTGTTGGTCGATCTCGTGTGTATGTCACCGCGTGTAGTGTCAACGCGTCTTTTTTTAGATATTGTCGATCTCGTGGTCACTTTCGCGGCCTTGCGTCCTTACGCCCCGTTTATCGCGTCGGTTGATTGGTTGACAG